GGTAATCTATAATCAAGCTATATGATAAACGTGATGACTTTAACTTTTCTATCGTCAACTTCCCTTACTTATGCAGCAATATACCTTCATCACCTGCATACGAAGTCTATATATCTGTGTTGATTCGATATGCAAGAGCTGTAGATGCTGTTCGTACGTAGATGCTCTACGTACGAACAATTTCTCAAACGAGGTAAATTATTAACAAGCAAGTTGATGAAACAAGAATATCAACAGTCTCGTTTAAAGTCATCATTTTGTAAATCTTTTGGTCTCTAGAATGACCTTGTCAGCAAATACAATTTATCATTGAGACCAATGCTGACTGGCGTATTTTCATACTTATTGTTAGTCCATTATCTTTACACTGAATTGACGACTGATTTTTCCGTTATTTCCCGATCATGACAAGGAGCACACGGTGGGTGTGACCGGTCAGCTGGGGATGCTCACTCCTCCATGGCACCTGATCCCAACTCTAATGTTTCGGAGGTCCGTGTTTGCTCTGCTCCAATTTTGTATTGTTTTATGGACTTTGATATTGAATACTGTTCGTTATCTCTATATCCTTCTTTCATTGTCTATATAGTAAGCGATACTACAGTACCGACCGGATACAACCTAACAGAAAGCAAACTCTGAGATAACCCCGGTTTGCTCTCTGGCTCCGCTTCGGGTTCGCTCGTGGTCCGCTAGGGCTGACCCCGAGCGAACCCGAAGTGGACCCAGAGAGCGAATCCCAAATTCAGTAGCGGTCCCAGAAAGCAAACGCGCGTTCAGTATTTCTTTACGGAGCTGTCAATGAAGATAAACGATTAACCAATCAGCACGTCGACCAATCAAAATGGCATATTGATCTGTCGATCAGGATAAAAGATTAAATGTGTGATGTTATTTGATGAACTTCAAAACATACAAGCAAAGTGTGTGAATGTACAGTATAAATCTATTATGTATGCGATATACTATTTTATATTTATTTTAATTCTCCGGACTGTATGTTATATTTATTTATTTTTTAAAGCAATTAATAAATAACATATTTTAATTTTCCAGGTAGAACGATACATAATATTCGTGTATTTATTTTCTTTAGTTTTTTATACCAGTATTTAAAGTTCGTTGATCAAATTTAATGTTAATTGGGTAAATATATCACTCAGTGCGTAAAAGAAAAAAATATTATAATAATTGTCATCTCAATTTTTACACTAAAAACAAGTGGAAAAAAGAAAAATAACTGGTTTTCGAATAATTTTATAATTTCATTATCTCAAGATCGAGTACAAAATTGGGAGGACGACTCATAGAAATTTAACAAAAAAAATCATCAGGCTTTATTATTAAAATCCATTTTAATGATGAGAGGTAACACTAACGATCTCGTCTTGCTTTTCCCTGTAATAATTTCTATTTAAATATCTAAAAATATTTGTTAATAATTATAAATTTCATTAATGTGTGTATGTGTAGTGGAGTTTTGGAGTTTTATGAAGATACTTACTTTTACAATTGACGACTGACTTTTACAATTTAAACATAGACAAACTCCAGTCACTAAAATGTAAAAGTCAGCTGTTAAATGTAAAAGTAAGTCTGTTCATAAAACTCCAGTAGGGGGTATATTTCTTTTCGGTAGAACAATTATTATTTGTATTTTTTTTTTCATTCTAATTAAAATCACACTCGCTCCATAATCTTGAGCGTAATAAAAATCTCATTTAATCTATTTTAATTTTTTTTAGAAAATGTCCGGTAAATATTTATTACGAGCTTTCAATGTGTAACTACTATAAATAAAATCTAAATATAATACGTGTACAATATATAAATTTATAGTTATCATAATTCAGTGTTTGTCAAACATTTAAACTACGATTTAGCAAAACATAAAGAATACCAAATATAATTTAGAACTATATAACGCATAAATTTGAAAGGTTATTTGTTTAGATGCTTTGGTCAGTTTCACTTGTACACCATATTCGATACATCGAAAATGTTTTTTGTTTTCGCGTTATAAATATAGAAAAATAAATGCCTAATAGCCTGCTGTTAAATAACTCGAAATTTCTCGTGATCGAAATCCCGAGAGCGGAGAAATCAAGGAAATAATTATAAATCTACGTCGAAAGTACAGTTTAATTTTGGAAATTTTATCAATGTTCTTCATAATGTCACTGTATACAATCGCCAAACAACAATGATCAATTCCGCAATCCATGACTGTACTGGAATATACAAGAGGCGGGGCTTATTGGCGGCGAGATTAAAACGGGGTCCGCTTCACGCATCAGTGCGTAAAGCGCTTCCATAAAGCGAACGCCGGGTTTGCTCTAGCGGACCCAGAGCTGACCTGACTCCCAGCGAACGCGGAGCGAACCTAGAGCGCACCCAAGGTGCACCCAGAGCGGTCCCAAAATTTCTGAAAGGGAACCCGAAGCGGACCCCTAGCGAACCCGCGAAGCGAGCCCGCTTCGGGTTCGCTCTGGTGTTAGGTTGTGTCCGGTCGGTACTGTAAATGTGTCAGAAAATGGCATTAACCAATTTATTTGTGATATATCTAATTTTTAATCAGATTTGACCAGTTTTAAATTTATGAAGAGAATAATTTAAATCAGATCTTTTTATGTAAAATTTTATGGCATTTTACCTTGGCCCGTGCGCACTTTCGGCGACCAATAAAGACTGAGATTTTTATAAAAATAAATTATGAAGTTCAAACAATAAAATCCAAACCACTCTGACTTGAATTTTCAAAACGAATATTTTGTTAAACAATAAACATATCTTGAACCATTCATTTTGATTATAACGCCATTGACCACGAACTTTTTGAACAACCCTCGTATAACAGTATAGATCAATTCTGCAGATAACGGCGACTTCAGACTGACAACCTTGGGGTTGGTAACCAGTTCCTGACGTGGGCGCTGTCGGATTTTCTCCAGAAATAGGAGCTCCGCACTATTTCAGCATTGTACGCTTAAGCTATATAAATCCTTAAAATACTTTGCGAAAATACGTATAAGCAGAATTTTAGCGAGGATTTAATTTTGGCATTATTAGCGACGGTGCTGAGATCGCTAAAATTGAATGCCAAAAATTAATTGCGTTCTATTTTTAATAGCTTCTTTAGTGAGCATTTAAAAATCGCTAAAATCATTTAAAGCTAAAAATAAAATACCCATTTTAAGGACAAATCGCTAAATTTGCGTCTCGCTCAAACTTCCACTTATATGGTAGTTAGGTATTGATTATAAAGAGACAAACCAGTAGGAAGCAGAGTTAAGAAATAAAGTCCGCGTTTTCTTAAATGTTGCAGGATAATCCCCGAGGTCGAAAAAATGTTGTTTGAAAGATAAAAGCCGAGGCGTTAGCCGAGGCTTTTATATTTCAAGCAACATCTTGGGACCTAGGCTATTATTCTGCATCATTCACGACAACAAAGACTTTCTTCTATTCAACAAAGAAAAATAAAATACAGCTGATCGTGTCCTCTATAGAGAAACGAATTGGGTCATCATGTCTTAATTACGCTGTTCCATTCAACATCAGAGAGGGAAATTTGTTTGCTTACTTGTGTATGCATGCAGACGGTTTGAACTTCGGTTGCATTAAAAAAAGCTTTTTTATTACAATTTTTTTTAATATAAATTGATTAATTTTAATGAATATACAAAACCATTTCATTGTTTTAATTAGGACTTAATCAAGTTGTTTAAATTGCGTAGGGAGGTCCGTGGAACAGTCCTGATTCGCTATAAAACCCCACATTCATCAGCAACTTTATGCAATTTACAGTGTTCTGACTGCAAAGACGACACATCGATGTGGTATGAAGAAGTATTTCATTCTACAGTCATATATACATTTGAATTGTACAAGTTTTGATTTCTGAGCTGATAATTTTTTGATGACTTTCGTAATTTATTAGAGAATAATGTCCGTGGCATTTCTTTGATCTCGGCAATAATCGCAGTATAATAATTATTAATATCACAGTAAACCAGTAATAACTGCTGTGCTTTCTATATTTCAAATTTTTCAGATTGTCATACTAACTTAACAGAAAAAATGCAAAATTTTCAATGTTGTATAATTTTAGTTACTTTAAAGGCTTTTTTCTTCTTCTAAACTGTGGATAATTTTCTATTGCATCATGGTAAATTTGTTTCGTCAATTGTTTTGGGCAAAGCTTGTCAATCATTGTTGCAATCATTGTTTGATTGTACAATGTATATTGTACAACGTATCATTTTCCACTGATATAGAGACGTCACCATATCGGACACAGTAAATGGCTTCAATTTTATTTACTCTGGCAAATAAGCAGTGATGATTCTTTATCTACCACGTATACCGTAAAAAGGAGCTTGGGTTATATGAGGCACCCGCAACTTACAAGTTAATTTAATCATATTTTGATATGATTATTACGGTATATTTAATCATATTCTAAAAACGATCTATTGATTGATTGATATTGTGTTATTTAGCATCCCTCTCGAGAATGTTTCACTCATATATATGGAGACACTCTCACTAGCTGATGGCGATATCTGCAAATTTTGTCCTATACTTGGCACTTAAGGCCATTGAGCAGGGTGGTATCTTTTAGTACTAGCACCTACTGCGACACAAAAGCTCGTTTTATACGGTTTCATCCGAAGGACCGGTCTCCAAGTCCCTCAGTGGGATCCAAAGCTGCGATATAAGGAACGCCTAACATCGCAACTATTTAGCAGACACTCAAAGAAAATTTTCTGATGAATAGTTCTACTGTGAATATCATAGGAGAAAGAATGTTGAATTTAAAAGACTTAAACCCTCTAAAAACAATCCTCCCATACATGTCTTTGTAACCTAGAGCAATAAGGAGAATGCGTAATTGAACCTCAAATTCCTTGTGCATCAAGAATATTCAAAAATATAAAAAAAAAATGTGACATACAATTATGAAGCACCCCCCCACACACTCATTTGCAATGGATACTTACCAAACATTGAAGACACACGTGTATTCTGAGAGTTTTCCAAGTAAAACACTGACTTTGATATATTTGCACTAGAAGCAAGTAAATCATTATTTAAAGTGTCCAGAGAGGTATTTAATTTTGTTGACAGAGTCTCATACTTTTGCTCTATTAATGCAGGGATACTTTTGTCTAGTTCCAAAGTATGTTTATTCAAGTCAAGATGAGTAATTGATAGATATCGAACTTCAACTTTTAGGTCTCCAAGTATCGCACTGGTGTTTTTCTCAAAAACCTCCCTCTTTTCTTCAAATTGTTCTGCAAACTCTAGGAAAAGATCATTCATATGTGTAAAGTTTTCCTTGACTGCGTTGAATGTTTCTCCAAACTGTCTATTTTCAAGCGTAAGTCTCTGATTTTCACGTTTGAGTTCTTTCACTTCTTGCTGTAACGCTGTCACCTGTAACTCAGTTTTCTGCTGTGACGTTTTCAATGTCTCCATACTTTGTTTCAGGTCAACCATGTCCTTCATCAGTGAGTGTACATTTTTCACCAGTGCTATTCTTATGATCGTTTCTTGATTCAGAAGTTGTCTTACAACGTCCGCGTTTTTCGAATCGATGTCATTTGTGTCAAGTTGGGTTATATTCTGACCACTGTTGTCTGTGAATATAGAAAGACCGTTAACAGAAAATAAATTTAGGAGACCTATCGCTAAAACAAAAACGTGCTTCATCTTCTGTGTATCAATATAAAATGCAGAATGGGGCTTCAATGTATGATTATTTGAGTCCCTTAATAATGCATTTTACTTTCTGGAGACGAAGATAAAACGCATCTTATTATATCATCAATGTAAAAAATCTCTTTGAAGATCGCGTTAGGGATGCAATGCTTTGTATTTTTTGTATCTTTTCGTTATGACGCAGAAGATATTTTTTGTGCATTAATTAACATAATGGGATTGTTCCCTATACAACTTTTCTGACAATATAAATTCTAAGTACTATTCTGCATTGTGGTAATATTTTTCAGAGTGTACTACCATCAGGTTTTGATCAACAAGGAATACTTCATGCTTTTTTGATAAACAGTCCATTACTAAGCAATGACTTTCACTTCACTTCTGTTTGTATGTTTTTGATCAAGATAAACACTCACTAGAGTACGAGGGTTGTTGCAAAAGCTCTACTTTGGGCGCGCCATTTCCATGAAATCGGCAATACTCTCCAAATAAAACCGTAACCTATTTTCCAATAAATATTCAAAGATTTACTGTTTTCCGATGATCCGTTTAAAACATGCATCTTTATCATTTTGATGACACATCTTTCACGGATCATGATACTTTTTTCCAATGTTTACATGACATGGAATTCTTATTTATATTAAAACTTGCACATTTGTGACACAAAAACAAAAAGAATAGGATATTTATTCGACGCTAGATTATTCGATGAACATCAGTTAGAAAAAAATTGAATGAAATTTGGATGTAAATGACTTTTTATAGCTACTTATAAATTATCAATGCATGCAAACAAAGTCAAGAAAGGGAACGTTATTGAACTCTTCAAACAACCCTATTACACTACTGTATTAAAATATTTCAATCCTAAACATGTCTGATCAACACTGGTCTTGTTAAAGTTATTTTTTACAATCGGAACTCAGAAAAGGAAAGAGATATCGAATAATATCATATTCGGAATGTTGTATACAATTTTCATTCTGTACTTCTGCATCAAATTAACATTGTCATCAATGTATCAGAGTCCACTTTTACGTCATCGGATTATCCTCAGCATGATATCAGTATCATCTAATTAAAGTTTTCTTGTATGTTGTAAAGAATCGCGATATATATCTCATATGATTGAAGTTCCTTAAAGCCAATTTTAAGTTATCCCCCTATAAGACAAGATCACTTCTTCACCCTTTGTCAATCATACTAGATACAAAACTGCTGTTTTTCATAAACAGGAAACTGTCAGTGCTACATTTATATTCAAAGATTGGATGCTTCTTCAACAATTACCTAACTAACAGTCAAACTCTTAATGTGCACTAAATTTTTTGTATTTTCATTATTCAGTTTTCACTTTCATTTGTCGTAATTGGGTACAATTAGCTCAACCGAATAATTAAATGACTCTACTTAATTCTGAACTGAATAATAGAATGTTAGATAAAAAAGGAATGTTAGAAAAAAGACTGTACATTATTGATCTAGGGTCCTATGTATCCTATGTAAAAAAAAAAAAGTAATGCTAGTAAGACATCAAACAAAATTTTGTAATACACAAAAGCAAAGCAACGAAGGAAAACGCCATTTAAAAGCTTTGCATACAATAAAGTTCCCCGTTAGGTGTACCTTAATCACATTAAGATGTTAAACTCAATCATTAACAAGTACTTTCAGGGATTTATATTTTTATGTTTAACAGGTGATCATAAAGCAAAAAATTAGCTGTTGTCCCCTTGCTTAGTTCCATGGTATCTTTATAAGCAAAGCTACTTTAAATAATTCTGCATGTACAACAGTCAGGCAAAGTTTATTTTTGATTTACTTTTAGTAGAAAAAGAACTGAAGTGACACTCTACAAATATTGATATGCAGCTCAAGACATATAAATCTATATATCTATGACAAAATTTTGAAACGCAAAACATTTATATGAATTACAGAGATGACGATCTGTAATCATGCTAAAAAATCCAATGAAAAAATACAAATCCAGGACAGAGCAAACACGGGCCTCTAACAAAAAGGGAGGATTAAGTGCCAAGGATGAGCAGGCATCCTCTACTTTTGTCATGTTTGGGCAAACGAAGAAATTCGAAGACAATTTAGTTTGTAAACAATGACCTAACTACATGTATTAACAGGAATATGCCTCTCGCCTCTCAGCATGTGACTTAGTGATAGGTTGTATTTCTGAGAAGGTTGTTGTATTGACGAAAGAATTTGTAAAATGATGACTTTAAACATGTTAAACGACAATGTTTATATTTCTTTTCAATAAAAAATATAGAGATAAAGAACAATACTCAATATCAAAGTCCAAAAACAATACAAAATAGGAGCAGAGCAAACATGAACCTCCAAAACATCAGAGGTGGGATCAGGTGCCATGGAGGAGTGAACATCCTCCGTCGACTGGACACATATGCCGTGTGCTCCTGACTGAAAAATATGTCGTCAATTCAGTGTATAAATACTGGACTAACAATTAGTATGAAAAACGTCAGTCAGCATTTGACTCAATGATTAATTGTATTTGCTGACAAGGTCATTATATTGACCAAAGAACTTACGAAATGACGACTTTAAACGAGACTGCTGATATTCTTGTTTCATCAACTTGTTTGTCAATAAATTACACCATTTTACAAATTGTTCATACGTGGAGCATACTCTTGCGTACCGAATCAATAAGAGATATAAACTCCGTATACAGGTGATGAATGTATATTGCTGCATTAGAAAGGGAAGTTGACGATAGAAAAGTTAGGGCCATCACGTTTATCATAGAGTTTGGTTGTTAGCTTACCATTAACGTCTTTTTCAAGAAAAATATCCAAGTATGAAACAGATGTGTCAGACTCTGTGTTATCTTTTATCTCAAGCTCACCCGGATTTATCGTATCAACATAGGAATGAAAATTACCATTGTTAATTGACGATAAGTCGTCGATATATCTAAATGTCGAGTTGAAGGCAACAGCAAGTGTTTTCTTCTTTTCACGTATAAAATTTAGCATAAATTCTGCTTCACATGGAAAAAAAAATAGGTCTACTAATAGCGAGGTGCAATTGGTACCCATGGGAATTCCAATAGGTTGTTGGAAGACCTGGTCAATTTGTTTGTCAAAAACTTGACTATTTTAACATATTTTGTCCGAAAAGCATTCTTTAACATATTGAGTCAACTGGGAGGCATAAACCTCTCTGTGCAGGTGATAAAGATGTATTTTAAAATGTTACTTCAGCAAGGGAAGTTGACGATTGGCCACATTAACAGTGAACATTCAGCTGATTGGCCACAAGTGTTGTAAATGATGAGGTAGAATTTCTTTCTATTTTATTTTTTCAATCCTTTTGGCGACTTAAACCTCAAAAACTTTGCTGTCTATTTCTGAACTTTTACCTGATGTTTATGAATAGACAGAATTGTCTTCACTTTAACATGGCACTTGATCCCTACTCTGATGTCTCGGAGGTCCATTTTTGCTCTGCTCCTATTTTTGTTTTGTTTAAGGGACCTTTTAGCTTTAAAATGTTAGTTATTTCCATATATTTCATTTGAATACCGGATTTTCGTGCCAAACTTGAACTTCAGTTGTTAGTGTTCAAGTCTGTAATTTTTTCAATTCCTTTCAGACAAGCAATTGCAACAGGAAAAGAAAAATTCTTTTGTGTGGAATATTCACAAATATCATTGCATGCATTATCAATATGTAGTACGCCATTTCCTTTTTTTCAAAAAGAAAGTGTATCGTGAAAATGAATAAATATTCAGATGAAAATTTCAATAATGAAATGACATTACTCATATGTGATCGTGATTTAAGCATAGAAAAGCATCCCATGATGCAAAGGATTAACACATAGTAGATGCTCTGTACATCCTTTGTATACCGTCCTATATTAACTCATCATTCAAAGCCACAGAGGAAGAAAGATAATCTTTATCACACTTTTTCTACTGTTTTGCTATCACTATTTTCTTTTTAGCAATTACATATAGCTTCGCATAGAGCGTTCCAGAATAAAGGTTTCAATTAATGTTTTTGATATTTCGGTATGGATGCTAAGATGTGTAACTAACAATTAAAATTGAATTTAAGTACATGAATATATTGAACCTTCGTATATTTTTATCACTAGGAGAACGGCCTGAATCTGGGAAGTGAAAATGACACTCCTACAAACTGTCAAGCGTTGCAATTCTTTGATATTCAGTTATGAAAAAATTCTTTTAAGAATTTAGCGAAATGTTCTGTTACCTTGTCTGTTACTATGTCTGTTATTATCAGCACTCATGATTGACAGCATATTAGTAATAAACAAAGTATTGAAATATCATGATGCCATAAAAACGATTGATTTTTTTTCCTTTTTAAGTGGAATCTTACATACATTGAAAAACAAGCTGTGAACACGCAGAATTTTTTTTTATCTGATTACATCATTATACGGTTGTGGTAATATTAAATAATACGTTGTAGGGTTTATAAAGGGGAAGAAATTGGCAGTATTCAATTTACATGCTATACTTTATCTTTCTTTATGACGGTAGAGAAAGTAAATATCGGATATCTTTATATTAAGAGGTCTTATCTTTTATGGAAAATAACGATACGTATTCATTAGATTTGTACATCATTTGCTAAGACATCCGTAAATATATAAGATACAAGCATATTTTGCCTCTCATGGACTTGATTTAAGAATTCGTAACAGACTACAGGTAAGTCATACAAATATGAAGGTAATTGTATGGGCAGGATTTTGTAGGTCATATATCTTGAGGTGAAATCCATTCCTAGAAAGGGAAAAGGGGTTATTCAAACTAAATTAAACTATTTCTCATGGACAAGCTTTTTTCCTTTTGATATATTTGACTCTGCCTTCCAACTAATATTAATCCATTGGTAAATTTTGTGTATTTTCGATTTAGTTTCCTGTATTGTTTATATAACTTGCCTGAACTAAAAGCCCAAGTGA